CTTGGTTCTACGAAGAACACGGTCCCAAGGAAGTCCTCAAGTTAGGGGACTTCCCAATTCCTATTCCCCGACACAACCAACTTCTTGTTCAAGTCAGAGCTGCTGCTTTGAATCCTTTCGATTGTAAGATGCGCCAATGGGCCATTGTTCCAATAGAATTCCCTGTGAGTATAGAATTCCGGTGCAACATGTCTGTGCCCGTGTCTGTGTTTGTGTCTGTGGGTGCGCACGTGTGTGAGATACCATCTTTAGCTGCTGTCCTTTATTTTCCCAAGCTGCTGTTCTTTATTTTCCCAATTTCTTGTTTTGAACTGTTTGACTTGTTATGATCATCTGTTATTTCACACCTACTGATTGAGTCAACTAGGTTGAGTATTTTTTGATTTATTTCTAAGGTGATAGTATTTTCCTAAGTTATTTGAAATAGCATTTTCTATCTTCTAAAAATTGGAAATAGTATTTTTTGCAATTAATTTTCTAAGGTAATAGTATTTTCCTTAGCTGTTTTGAAAATTAGAATTCACTGCAAAGTTTGGCTAGTATTTAGGGAAAGTCAATTTTGGTTGTGTAGTTTGATCATAATCGATATCTTTGGTTGTGTTTTCATTTTCTTTAAAAATGTGGGTTGTAAAATTTTCCTGTAAACAGTTGTTGAAATCACGTAATTTCATCTATTATTAAATGTATATAAAATCTCGATGCAGGTGGTACCGGGCTGCGACATGGCTGGTGTTGTGGTGGCTAAAGGCAGCGCCGTTTCAAAATTCGAGAAAGGTGACAAGGTTTATGGAAACATCCAAGATAACAACGCGGATGAAAAGCTAAAGCAGTTTGGGACACTAGCAGAGTTCATCGTAGTGGAGGAGAATTTGGTGGCGATGAAGCCAGAAAACGTTTCATTTGAGGAGGCAGCTAGCTTACCTTTAGCGGTTCAAACTGCAATGGAAGGGTTCAAGACTGCAAATTTTAAAGAGGGACAGACGGTTTTTATTGTTGGTGGGGCCGGTGGCGTTGGAACGTTGGCAGTACCTTTAGCGGTTCAAACTGCAATGGAAGGGTTCAAGACTGCAAATTTTAAAGAGGAACAGACGGTTTTTATTGTTGGTTGGGCTGGTGGCATTGGAACATTGGCAGTTCAATTGGCGAAACAATTTTACCGGGCTTCACATGTCATGGCAACAACTAGCACACCGAAGGTGGAGTTTGTGAAGAACTTGGGAGCCGATAAGGTTGTCGACTACAAGAAGACTAGATATGAAGAGGTTGAGGAGAAATTTGATCTCCTTTATGACACAATTGGTAAATTTCTCACTTTTAGACCGTGTTTATCATACCTTTGCACTCTGATGACTTTAACTGGAGAGTGAGAGAGGCATATGAATAAGGGAATTGGGAATTGAATGACACTAATACAAAGCCTCTGTTTCTTTTTTCCAAGGAAAAGGGAGGAAAATCAAAGGAAGAGAGAAAATTCTGAATTCTAAATTTGTCTAATTTTTCACTTTTCGGTTCCTTTGCTTTCCTAATCACCAAACGAAGCGTAAGGGTCAAATGGGTAATTTGATTCAGGTGAAAGAATTTATTAGGTCCTCTCCAGGAAGAAGGGCTATATTTAACAGAATAACAGAGCGACAAATTCACGAGATTCCTGTTAAAGCAGGGTTGGACTACGCAAAAGAACGCTTCTCCAAAATATCCTACTTGACTCATAATTCTTATTTTAGTTTTAGTACAAAAATTTGTATATATGAAATTATGTTACTCGTTAAATGTTATTCGAAAATCTTCAGGTGACACTGAAAATTCATTTGTGGTGGCTAAGGATGATGCACCAATCATCGACATAACGTGGCTTCCATCAAATCCAAAAGCTACTTATTTAGGCTTGAAAATTTCTGGGGATAACTTGGAGAAGCTTAGGCAATATTTGGAGAGTGGAAAGCTCAAGGCAGTGATTGATCCAACTGGTCCATATCATTTTTCTGATGTTATTGAAACTTTTCGATATTTGGAAACTGGAAGAGCCAGGGGTAAGGTGGTAATTTCTCCCTTCCCCGCCCAGTATTTTCCCTCTTCTTCCTGCATTACCCAGAATTATGCTACATTTCAAGTAGTTTCCCAGGTTGCATATTAGAATGAAACCCTTTTATTTTTTTTGAGTGCAAGAGTAGCATTGTATGAATTGTCTTTTTATCCAGTAATTGTAAATTTGTAATCATCTACTGTATGTCATTTGGATATAAGATTCTTAAGGGCTTGTTTGGTAACTTTCTTTTGAAGTGTAGGGACATAATTTTTGAATGACAACACGTGGCCAATGTGTCACCAAAGTGTGTCCTGGTCATGACGCCGAGGTAATCTCGGCCAGGCCGAGGTTATTTGCGAAGATACCAGAATCTGGGATAAGCGGATAAGGGACAAGAGTCCCAGAATGGGAGAAGACTTCAGTTTGGATAAAGATAAGACTCTTAGAGAGTTTATCCCAATCCTACTGGGAGTCCAAGATTAGCAGTAATTCTAAGTCCATTGGAGCTAGGCTTCTAGTTGGACTAGGTTTATGTTGGCTATAAAAGAGAGGCACCTTCGTGGGTCTAAGGTACGCAATTTATATTTTGAATAGTGAGTTAGGCACTTTTGCTATCTTTGAGAGATAACTGACTTGATCGTCGGAGTGCCCCCGGGTGGACGAACCATCGCCAGAATCTCTTCTTTCTGTTGCAAGTTGTTCGGGCTTAATCTATTCTGCCAGTGTTCTCTAGTTGAGTACTTGGTTGACAGTGTGGTCGAAAATCAACACACACAATTTGGCGTTGTCTGTGCGAACGAAATGAGAATAGATGGCCAACGACGGACAGAAAGAGAAGGTTGGGGACGACACTCCTACTGGGGGTGGGAAACCTGTAGACCTTAACGTCGAAGAGGACAACTGCAACAAAGAAACTCACGAGAAGAATCACGAAGGAAAGGATGTTGGCCAGGAGGGCGACGCACCAAAGAAAACGGACCGAAGCGGGTATTACAACGAGGACAACCTCCAGGTATGGAAAGAAAGATGCCTACGGAGGGATGATGAGGTAAAAGCCATGGTGAACAAATTGGTGGACCTACAAACAATGGTCAATTTCATGATGCAGAATAACGTCATGCAGCCATCGTTCCCAATACAAGATACGCCGGTTCCAACGGCAAAGAAGGATGCCTGAAAAGAGGGGCAGAAAATAGTCCCTACAGTCCCCCAGCACACTAGGACCGAAAAACACTCTCACCGGCCTTCAAGGGAGGTTGGGCGAGGAGAGTCAAGAAGGGAAGAATCGAGGAGGACGCATCGCACTAAGGAAGCTGACCCCAAAGAACACCGGTATGTTCAAGGGCAGGAGTTGTACTTCGACGCAACTAATGGAGAAAAGCCCAAAAGGACTTACAATGACACTGGAAGCAGTGCACCAAAAATGCTGAAATCTGGAGATAGCCGAGCTCCTGGACGGACAAAGGAAGATTTGACACAACTCACGGAGAAAAATCAAAAAGGACCCACCATGAAGCTGAGAGTAGTATGCCGAAAAGACTAAAGTCAGGAGATAGCCGAGCTCTTGGACGAAGCAAAGAAGACTTGAGAGATTACCTCAAGAGGAAGCAGCAGAATGCCGATGCCGAGGTAACTTTCCCTGAAAAGCTGAGAACACCATTCTCGATGGAGCTAGACAAATTTGAGGCTCAAAAGAGATTCAGTATGCCAAGGTTCCAAATATACGATGGTAAATCGGACCCCAACTTTCATGTTGGATTATACTTGAATTCTATGACATTGTACAGTGGGAACGAGCCATTTCTCTGCAAAGTGTTCCCCTCATCTTTTGGGGAGATTGCATCAGATTGGTTCCACAAATTGTCGAAGGGAAGCGTGAAGACTTGGAAAGGCCTGGTCGAGATGTTTGTAGCCAGATTCGTGACAAACAAGCTACAGCCATTGAGGATGGACGCATTAATGGCTCTGAAGATCAGTAAGGATGAAGACCTAAGGGCCTATGCAAAAAGGTACTATGAGGTGTTCAACCGAATACCAGAGTGTAATCAAGAAGTGGTAGTCGTATCTTTCAAGACCGGCCTAAAAGACAACTATCCACTACGAAAATCTTTGGCAAAGACATTGCCAAAAAGTATGGAAGAGCTCATGGCGAGAATCGAGAAGTATGCCAGAGCCGAGGAAGACACGTCTTGGACTAAGGAGACAAAGCAAGAGAAAGGAAACGGCTCGCCGAAGCGAGGTCGAGGTAATAATGGATCTAACAAGCCAGAGATAGGACTGAGGGCTGCACAGGCAGTCACAACTGTATTCTGAATTCCAATTCACAAATTCCTAGATAAAATCTGAACCGAGCCCTATTTCAGAGCACCAGCAAGGGTACCAGGAGAGTTTATGAGAAGAAGCCTTGGTAAGCATTGTGCTTACCACAATGAAGATGAGCATCTGACTCAGGGTTGCAGAGCCCTGAAAGCGCACCTGGAAGACCTGGTAAGGCAAGGCCATTTAAGGGACCTTGTAGATGAAGCCAGGACAAGGGAAGAGCAGGCAAGACTGCCTCAGGCACCAGCAGCTCCACCTCCCTCAGCACAGCAACCTTAGGCAGGCGAACCTCAGATAATTAATGTAATTCACTCGAAGGTTAACGAAAACGAAATACGGGGGGAGACCCAGAAGGTAAAGTACTTGCAGCATGTGTACCAGGTCTGGGAGAAAAGACCTCGGGCCAAGGAGTGCCAGGGACCAGTAGTGTCCTTTACTGAAGCCGACCTTGAGATGGTGCAACATCCACATAACGATGCCTTGGTAGTATCCCTCTAGGTTGGGGAGTGCCAAGTGAAGCACATCCTAATTGACCAAGGCAGTTCTTGTGACATCATGTATGTCAGGTGTTACAAGGAGCTTGGCCTTCACCCAGACGATATGGAGCAGTCCAACAGCCCAATGGTCGGGTTCAATGGAACGCCGATGTGGCCACTGGAAACAGCAAGCTTGAAGGTGCAGGCTGGCACCAAAAAGATAAAAACAGAATTCACCATAATCGACACACCCTTCCCCTACAATGCTATCTTGGGAAGGCCATGGCTGCATGCAATGAGGGCTGTTCCCTCAACGTTGCATCAACTATTGTGGTTCCCAACAGAGCATGGGATAGAGGAGGTCAAAGGGGATTAGCTGCAAACAAAGAACTGCTCCATGGCAGCAATGAAATCCATCTACAACATACGAGAACCAGAGACAGTAGAGATCGAAGACAAGGATGTGGAAGTCCTAGATGACGTTGGCAAAGAGCCAGCCGAGAAGAGTAAAGAAGCCCTGAAGAAAATCCTTATCCAGCAAGGGGATGAGGAACGTTTCTTCCTTGTCGGCTCGGGCTTAGCCGAGGAAGAGGAAAAAGAACTGGAGGCTTTCTTGAGAGCAAACATTGAAGTATTTTCCTGGACGCCTTACGAGATGTCTGGTATTGACCCTGAGGTCACTTACCATAAACTGAACATAGACAGGTCGGCCAAACCTATAATCCAACGAGCAAGAAGACCGACGTTGATGCATGTTGAGGCAGTGGAAGAGGAAGTAGACAGACTTTTGGAGGCCAAAGCCATTCGAGAGGTAAATTACCCAACATGGCTATCAAATAACGTGTTGGTGAAAAAAAGAATGGTAAATGGAGGGTCTACATGCACTTTACCAGCCTAAACAAAGCCTGTCCCAATGACAGTTTCCCATTACCCAAGATTGACCAATTGTTGGATGCCACTTCAGGACATGGAATGATGAGTTTCCTGGATGCCTATAGGGTGTACCATCAGATAGCCATGTACCCCTCAGAAGAGGAGAAGACTGTGTTTATCACCCCAAAAGGGCTGTATTGCTACAGAGTGATGCCGTTTGGGTTGAAAAATGCAGGAGTAACTTATCAGAGATTGGTAACCAAGATGTTTAGACACTTAATTGGCCGAACAGTGGAGGTATACATCGATGACATGGTTATGAAGACCAGGGAACCTAAGGAGCATCTGGAAGACTTAAAGGCAGTCTTTGACATCCTAACAACATATCGGCTCTAGCTCAATGCATCGAAGTGTGCATTTGTAGTTGGATCTGGTAAGTTCTTGGGATACTTGGTGACCAGAAGGGGCATTGAGGCCAGCCCAGATCAGATCAAGGCCATCCTAGAAATGAAAAGCCCAACATCGGCGAAGCAAGTACAGATGTTGACTGGAAGGGCTGCAGCCCTGAATAGGTTCATAAGCAGAAGTTCTGACAATGCAAACTTTTCTTCAACTTAGTGAAGAAGGCCATAAACTTCTTATGGACAGAAGAGTGCGAAGTCGCATTGGATGACTTGAAGAAGTATTTGACCACGGCTCCAGTTCTCTCAAATCCATAACCTAGAGAGGAGTTATTCATGTACTTAGCAGTTTCGGAACATGCGGTAAGTGCAGTGGTAATCCGAGAAGAAAAAGAGGAACAAAGGGCTGTTTACTACGTAAACAAAACCCTGGCTGATGCAGAAACCAGGTATTTATCCTTGGAGAAGTTAACACTGGCTTTAGTAATGGCTTCAAAGAAGCTAAACCATTACTTTCAAGCCCACAAAATTGTGGTGCTAACTGAACATCCTTTAAAAGTCCCTGTTGCAGCAGGGAGATCTGACAGACAGAATAGCCAGATGGGTAGTGGCCTTGGGCCAGTAAGACCTAGAACACAGACCCAAAACAGCAATCAAAGGCCAAGTTTTGGCCGACTTCGTGGCCGAGTTCACACTAGGAGCCATCGTACATCAGGCTCCGTTGAGCCGAGGTAAACGATGTCTAAGCAAACAAAGAGGAGCCTAGTCGAGGGCAATAGAACAAAGGAAGGAACAAAAACATAGGCCCTGCAGCATTTACATCGGCGACTCCTTTCGGCTGTTTGTAGATGGGAGTTCAAACCGACAAGGAGCGGTGACAGGAGTAGTACTGGTATCTCCAAATGGATAGATACTAGAACAATCCATTCATTTGGGGTTCAAGGCCTCAAACAATGAAGCAGAGTATAAAGCACTGATTGCAGGACTGAAACTGGTAGTAGCAGTAGAAGCAGATGAGGTGATAGTCTTCTGTGATTCT